TAATTTAAAGTGAATATAAACCTAATTTTCTTCAATTTAAGGAGGAAACTACGGAGTGGCTGCAAGTAGAGCATCCATTGGGATGCTCCACCTGTATCCACTATTGGGGGGGGGGGGGGTCGAACTAAGCTGCACTTCCAACCATTCCCCCCATTTCTGGCCTCTGAAAGGTATTTCCCTTGCCTTTCCTAGCTTTGCTTCACTTCAGCATCACAGTGCAGCTCAGTAAAATGGGGAGTGTGTCTGGGCCATGAAGGACCACTGCCACCACCATTGCACCAGCACTTTTGTGCAGACAGGGGATAGAGAAGAGGTGGGAGGTGCTTATGGCAGCAGCGGCGGCAGCAGACAGACTGGGAACAGGTTCGTACACTGGCACTGTTCCTGCCCATTCGCACCCTGCTTGCTGCCGCCATCACAGAGATGCATTTTCATGGCCCAATCCAAACCGATTGGATGTGATTTAAAAAAGGAGTTATCCCCCAAGTTCTCAAAAACTTTTCAGTTTCCTTTATGTGATTCATAGTCTCACACTATGAAGCTACAAGGAGGAAATTAACGAGGTTAAGTCAGTAGGAGGCAATATCAGTTACAGAGGATTTATCGGGAGAGCAGAGTTCTTGTTTTATTATTCCTATTTAAATATTTTGAAGAATTGTCATTTTAGATAGGGCTTCTTACAACACACTAGCATTTCTGGCATGCATCTCATACATCAAATTTAAGTGACACGGGGAGACAAAAATAATGTGTCACCCTGCATAATGTTTCCCTGTCATAGGTGTACCCTTTCCAGTGTCTCTTGTGTCCCCTAACCAAACAGCTGACATCTTTGTGAGAAGAATGTTAGCTGGTGCTGTTCTTCAGAGAGTTCTATTTTTAAAGGTTGTTTGCAAGGTATCCCACAGCAGCAGTTTGTAGCGGTTCACTTAATCCTGATTTTAGGGACATCCTCCTGCCAATCTCTGAACGTCACCCCCTTTTTCCTGATGTCACTGAATAAGTGGCCTTGAAATAATCTAGTCATCAGTTTAGGCCATCAAATAAGCCTGTATTTAAAACAGAACTGAACCAAATGTTCGACAGTGAACAACTTTATTGGAAAAGGGGGCTTTTCTCCCCCACTCAGCATTTCCCCCTTTCACACTTATTTGCCTAAGTTTGCAATCCTGATTCAGTGTTCCCTTTAAGCTGAGTTAGTGTGAGCTAACTCACAGTTTTATAGCCTCCGACTCACACATTTTTGTCCTAGCTCAGGAAGGATGGTTTACGCAGCACCCAAAGTGCTCACTCACAACTTTAATGCCAGTAGCTCACAAAGTAGAAGTTTTTGCTCAGAGCTTAGGGGGAGCATTGGTTGCCAGGGCCCCCTTGGCTTCTTTTTTACATTTTTCCTTCTGTTGCTGCTATTTATGAAGGTATCAGAGCCAATGGGCTAAGATTTAGCTATGTGCTGATGTCACTGAGGACAAAGGATGTTAATGCAAATTACAGGGTTCCCTTTGCATTACCTTTATATGTTCTCAGCAACAGAAGGACTTAGCGAAATCTCGTTAATTAGGCGGCAGCAACATAGGAGAAGGATTTCAGAAACAAATGCCCCCCAAACAGCAGTTGATCAGGGCTGCAAAGTGGCTTTATTGTAGATTGACAAAAACCTTAGAGGAGGGAGTTACTCCTGTGGCTCCCCAGAAGGTACAGGGATTGGGGGAATTTTTCTTGGGGGAGCGGACTGATGCTGGGCAGTGTGGCTGCCTGAATGTGGGAGGGTACACAAACATGTTCACCATATTTCAAGAGCCCCCTTCTCCCTTGAATGATCACAGGAGTTATGCCAATAAAGGTCATTGGAAATTGGAATGATCACAGGAAACAACAGACACAATTAAAATGGTGAAATGTAAATTCTGTGAGATGTAAATGGCATGGTGGAGATTTATGCCAGAATATATTAAATAGCAAAAGACAGACCACCAAGATCTGTGTTATGGAGGTTTTGGTTTTTTAAAAAGGGCTTGAAGAAATTAGAGCTAGTTTTTGTTTCAGACAGCACAGCAGGAAGGTTGTTGGAATAGCCCCCACATCATTTAAGTAAGTGCTGCTTTGCTGAGATTCATACCAGTAGTTCATAGTTATTGGAGCCACGTTTGGAAGTCATTTCAGCAGGGCTTTTTTTTTTTTTTAAGAGTTGCCAGAACTCTCAAGAGAGAAGTGAAGTTTTCAATCTGTATACTGAAAACTCATGAACCTTTAAACATTTTGAAAAGAATTTTGTTGAAGAGGTTCTGGAATGCCATTCCAGCATTGTACCCCCAGAAAAAAAGCCCTGCATTACAGCCACAGTGTCACAAAATCTAAATTTTGCAGCATTAGCTAATGCAGTTCCCTATAGGATCAGGCTACTTGTTTGCAACCCTAGGAACAATTATTGGAAGACCGTTTCATGAAACCAATATGTTTAGGAGGTGTAAAGCAACAACTTCATATCACATTTATCACTGGCAAAACTCAAGGAATGTGAAACTGACCCACAGAAAATGGGATGGAAAACAACAATAACAACAACAAAAATAGCCCTTCTTTTTAAAGAGTTGTCCAAAATCCAAAAATAATATCTTTGAGGATTGTGCTTTTAATAAAATCTAAAAAGTAGTTTTTTTACCTTACAACAAGAAAAAAAGAATCAGGTTTGTAAAAATGAAACAATTGTCATACAGCTGTCATTTCCACTAAAGCATAAGGCTTTATCATCACAACCCTTTTCAGTTTGTCAGCTGCACACATTTTAAAACTGCATTTCTTAGCAATTTGTTTTGCTTTGCTTTGTCTAATAAAAATGCTACACAGGGCATGTTTCCTGTGGGAAAAGCCTTTGTCTTCTTAGGGCACATCTGTATTGGTAAGCTCTGATATGAAGAAGATATTTTACATGAAAGTCATATTTCTTATCATTAAAGAACCATCCAAGAAGAAACCTCTCAGCATGAGCATATGTGAATTAATGGCTCCAAAACACCCCACTGAGCCTCTCAAAGCATAGCATTTCATAATAAATTTTGATAATAAAGAGCCTGTCGAAATCAACAGGTGACTTTTCATCCCCAGTACCACACAGCCCAAGACACATGAACAATCTTTGCTGTAAAAAGTGTTCACAGCTTTTCCTGAGGTGCTTAATTTTTCTCTCTCCAACCTTAACTTTTCCTTCAAGTGCTACTTTTAATAGCTTGTCCACAATTGCCCTGTTGCTACTTGTCCAAAAGCATGCATTGTGAAGAAATACTATCCTCAAAGGAAAAATGTCTTCTCCACCTCCTTGCTGTGGTCACCATAGCCCTTTGTTACTCATGGGTCACTGTTTGTGGGAATATGGCAGCTTTGCAAATAAGTCTACACAAGTGAGTAGTCTCCCTGATCATACTGGTGTGAATCATTTGGGACACGACAGCAGCCAGAAAGAGAACACAGAAAAAAAGCTCCACTCTTTTTAGTTTAAGCTTTTGAGTTTTGAGACTTGGTGGCCATTTATATTTTCCAGCCTGGCTATGGAATCTGCATTCATTGCAATGCCCATTCAGCTCTTGCAAAAAAAGAAAAAGAAAAGACTAAACTAGGGGATGGGCCTGGGGTGACAGGAGGGTTGCCAGCATTTGGGTTGGAAATACCTGAAGATTTTGGCAATGGAATTTGAGGAGGGTGGGGCTTTGGGAGGCGAGGGACTTCAGTGGGGTATAATGCCACAGAGTCCATCTTCCAAAATGGCACTTTTCTCCAGGTGAACTGGACCAGTGTTCCCTCTAAGCTGAGTTAGTGTGAGCTAGCTCACCATTTTTTAGCCTCCGGCTCACACATTTTTGTCTTAGCTCAGGAGAGGTGGCTCCAGAGCAAACTGATTTATGCAGGAGCCAAATGGCTCGCTCACAACTTTAATGCCAGCAGCTCACAAAGGAGAATTTTTGCTCACAAGGCTCCACAGCTTAGAGGGAACATTGAACTGGACATCAGTTATAATCCCAGGAAATCTCCAGCCCCCACCTGGAGGTTGGCAAGCCTATGTGACAGACAGGATTGGCAACTCCTTACATTTGTGGAGTTTCCTGTTTCTGTTCTTTGTCTGCATGTGCCTGAAATGTAATTGAAATACCTAAAAGACAGATTCGCCAGAAAAATGTTTTTCTTTGAAGAGGGTTGTGTCAGTCCCAGTGAGTTCTCTTGGTTAATGACTGTTACTACATAATTATATCAACAGGTCTGTTGGTTTTTAAAGAATGGGCAAGAGAAGAATGATCTTCTCTTAAAGGTATTGGTCTTCTGGCTTGACCAAAGCCAAACCTTGCAATGAGTTCACAGCACTCCTGCTTGTGGGTTACCTCAGGCCAGTAGAGAGCTGGAAGCTTTTTGTTACTACACAGGCTTCCCCCCTCCCTGACATGTGTGCTCCTCCTCCTGAAGAAAAGTACAGGCATTTCTTCTATGTGCTTGGCATTCATTATGTTCTTTATGAGCAAAATGCCACCACGTGAGCCATCTGAATGTCACCTATTGCTCTCTTTCCTTCAGTGTTGTGTGGTACTCACATGAACTGTCGACACAAACCCAAGTCACCCATTCAGCTCTCTGATGATTTCCTGCCTTCTCCATTTCAGCTGGTTCCTTGGGTTTTTGACCTGGTGTCCTTCAGATGCTTGCACACATATATCCAGCTACTCAGGCTTAATGACAGCATTGTGGATGTCTAATATAAAGCAGGGCACCTCTCCTCTGAGTGCTGTATTCACTGCCTGGGACCGTCAAATCACAAGCATGCTTGGGAAAGGCACTTCATGCACAGAATTATACTACCTGCTGCTCCCCACCCCCGTGTGGAGCTGACAAAGCCAAAGAAAATAACAGTTCTTTCTTTAAATAACTACAGAAGATAGGCTTCTGTTCTGATATGGCTGTCTCTAGGTAGCTCTTGGTTTTTTTTAAAAAAAAACATAATAACTATAAGCACTTACTGTTATGGCCTGAAATCTTTCCTTCAGCAGTTCAGCTTCTTCCATTCTAGAAATAAAAAAAGCCACACGCACAGGCTGTGAAAGCTGTAAAGCAATCCCACATAGGCAGGCAGGCAGGCGCCCTGTGAGGAGGAGGAGGAGGGCTACGGAACAGACGCTTCCGAAGAGTTGCGATCTAATTCCACAGAGGAGTGGAGAGGAGGAAGAATTCCCGACTTCTTCAGAGCGTCTCTGAACAGATGAGCAGACAGACACATGTAATGAGGGTGTGCTGGAAGAGGCAGACGGCCAGAATACTGGCACGAGTTGACTGACAAGTTTGAACGGCAGGGAGCACAAGTCTTTTTCCTTCCCCAGCTGCCAACTTCTTGCTGTAATATGCACATTTGGCATACCGAAGATTAACCTTTAAGCACCCAAATCATATTTTCCCTTTCCAGCCAGGAGAATGCCGTTGGTATTCGTGTACTGCATTCGGTAAGGCTTTCTTTAAAAATATGTACATAAAAGTGAAAGATAAAACACAAAACATTTTTCACTCTTGCTGTCCTTGAATGTTCACTGAGATATGATAACAGTAATAATTTAGCAGTTAGCTGATTTCAGAGTGCCTCATGTACATTAGTACTCCTCAAAACAGACCTATAAGGTAGAGCTATATAAATGTACTTATTTTTGAGGGGAGATTTGAACTGGCTCACAGCTCACAGTTATAGTTACGATAGTATGCCAAATGTAAACATTCATGGAGCATTTTAAAACTAATTTTGTATTATTTTACAATGGAGAGAAGAAGAAGAAGAAGAAGAAGAAGAGATTTGATTTATACCCCACCCCAGAGGTCGTTTCGTAGAAAAAAGAACTAGGGGAACTCATTAGCATAACTCATTAGCATATGCCACACCCCCTGACATCACCGGAAGTGTGTCATAAGGCCACACCCACTGACATCACCAGAAGTGTGTCATAAGGCCACACACCCCACCCCCAACGGTCCCGGCCGCCGCCACCGGCCTTGCAGCTCCACTGCTGAGACCCATGAGGGGCCCGGCGGTGGACGTGCAAGGCCGCCGGGAGTGCAAGGAAGCCCCGTGAAGGCCCTCCCTGGCCCCAGGCAGGCAGGGGTGGGGAGAGGCAGGGAGGAAGCAACTTACCCTCCCTCTTCTCCTGCCTCCTCCTGGCTGAATGAGGGCCGGAAGCGGGGCGGCTGGAAGCAGGGGGCGGGGCTTTGTCATGTGCTCCACCCCCCGTACTCACCCGGGGGAACTGTGATCCCCCGCGTTCCCCCCCAAAATGACCTCTGCCCCACCCTTCACTCAGAGTCTCAGAGCGGCTTACAAACTCCTTTCCCTTGAGAGAACAACTCTGACAGAACTATGGCTTGCCCAAGGTCATCCAGCAACTGCAAGTGGAGGAGTGGGGAATCAAACCTGGTTCTCCCAGATTAGAGTCCGCGCTCTTAACCACTACACCAAACTGGCTTTATACTTAGTTATAGGTTATTTATTAAAACATTTTTATCCCTCGTTTTCGTGTTCAAGATTAGACACATCGAGCATCATTACTTTAAAATGAAACCCAGTGTGATGTAATTATAGAACACCAAACTAGAATCTTTGAGGCCCAAATCCAAATCCTCACTGGCACAAAGTTCACTCAGTGATTTTGGGCCAGTTATTTTGTTTTTGCTAGGGCTGCCAACCACAGCTTAGGAAATTCCAGGACATTTAAGGTGTGTGTGTGCCTGGGGAGGGCAGAGATTGGGGGGCGCATGTGGAGTTCAGTGAAGAAGTCACATCCAGGTCAATGGTCTGTTCTTCCAATTCCTGTAAGGCAACTTCTTCAAAAAATTTAAAGTTTATTTTTTTCATTTCATATCACTTCCTTTTTTCCCCATGCCTTATATCACTTGTAGGGTTCTGTATGCATGTGTTCTGTATGTCATGCTAATTTTTCGATCCTAAGCATTTTCATTGGTATAACTGGCTGCTATCCAGTTATATTCCACTCAACCTAAATAAAATTCTCTTCAGGTTTTTCCTGGTGCTAAGGACAAGACAAGACTCACTGGGCAATGGCAATATTGCTTGGAAATGCCGAAGGCAGCAGGAAGAGAGGAAGACCCAATATGAGATGGATTGACTGAATAAAGGAAGCCACGACCCTCAGTTTGCAAGACTTGAGCAAGGCTGTTAATGACAGGATGTTTTGGAGGACATCAGTTCATAAATTCAGAGAGTAGCTGTGTTGGTCAGCAAGATTTTCAGGGTATAAAATTTTGGCTACGGTCACACGTGCCAGTTGAAGTGGAGGGGAAGCAAGGCTATTTCCTCCGGAGGAATTTGACATGCAGTTGCGAGATCACACAGCCTTTTGAAGCTGTGGGTGCAGCCCGTCACTGTGTGATCAAACGCAACTGTGGGTGAGTCGGATTTTTTTTGCCATTTGTTTCCCTTGCGCATAAACGCGGAATCGCACCTCTGCACTGAGGGCCCTCTATGGAGTATGCGATGATGCGCATACTGCGAAGGGGGGGGAATGGCATGGAGTCGGGATGGCCTGATTAGACCATCTCGATGGCATGAGAGCCTGCTAGAGTGATCAGAGTGGGGAAAGTCTGCCCGTGGCCCACCTTATCCAGATAACACTGGACTTTTCCCGGTGTCTTTTAACTTCACTTCCGTGGACTAGGAGCACAGGTTGCCGATGACTACAGGATACTTCCCAGATGTTGTCTGATCACTCCCTTTAGATCCGTCAGGCATGCACACCTGTGTTGGATCTAAAGGAGTGATTGCAGCCTTTGAAAGTCAAAGCTCCCTTCATCTGATATTCATGTCTGATGAAGGGAGCTTTGGCTATTGAAAGCTTATACCCTGAATATCTTGTTGGTATACGGGACTACTGGACTTGAATCTAGTTGTCATTAACTCATAGAGTCGCTATAAGTTGGAAGCAACATGACAGCACATAACACACACACAACAATTTAAATAATTAATTCTGAAGACTTACAAAAGGATGCACACTAACTGCAATCCTACCTCTCTCTCAATACATGCAATATCTACACCACAACTCTGAATTTTCTGACTGTAACCAAACTGAGTGGACTGTAACTAATAAACAGAGGCACAGTGGTGGCTACCAGGCCCAGCTGCATGGTGAGGAACCCACAAGGGCTTGTGGGTGGCGCCTAACTTTCCCCTGTATAGCCCTCCCTACACTGTTTCCTCTTTCCCTCGTCCTGGCAGCCCCCATTTCTTCATTTGTTGATCAAAAATGTTTTAATTCAGAATAGTTAATTATGAGATTTTTAATACAAACAAAAAAGTTTTTTCCCCCTATTGAAAGATGAGTTTTTCTACTATGAAAGCAAGAGTGTCCCTTTCTCTACAGGTCTATGTCACAGTTGGAAGTGATTTCACATTGCTAACAGATTGAGCAATTTTTTTTGTCTATCTGGTTAAAAGGGCAAACTCTAAAATACAAAATTAGCAAAACAGGTAGAACTGCCAAAAATAATATATGCTTGTGGAACAATGACTGACGTCTTTCTGAAAAAGTTAAATCTGAATATCATTAAGAACCTAGAACTGTTTCTCGCCTTCAACATCATGTAAATAATGTCTGCAGGTGTATACTGCATATATTTTGTTCTACAAAAGTTGTAGAGATTCTAGAGGCAATTTCATTTTGTTAAATGGATTTGTAACATTTATATCCTGCCTTTCCCTCTTGGGCTCAAAGCAAGAGTTCTTAAGAGTTCCTGAACGGTTTGGTCTGCCTTCAAGGCACTGACCATACATAACTCTATTTAACTTCATTAAGGTTACTAAAATATGTACATTTAGACCACGGCACTAAAGAATGTATGATCTTAACATACCTATTATAGGCAGAGGTTAACCAACACTTCACTGCTGCTTTTTTTGCCAGTGCTACAGCTGTTTAATGGCACAGAACCTCTGTCTATCTGAACTGGCACCCTAAATAATGTCACCAGCTGGCCAGTGAAAAATTCCTATCCTTTTATTGGGGGTTGACTATGCAGAAATGGGCAGCTGAAGCTTCCCATGGCATGGAGCCATGGAACATTACCTGATAACTGCTACAGAACTAACTGATATGAAAGGGACAACTAGAATGCCAGTTTGGACTAAATGATTCTTCTAGAAGCATTGCAGTTTGGACCCAACATAGATTTAAATAATATTCAATTGCACAGACTAATGACTACAAAAGGTACAGACTAATGACTACAAAAGCTGAGCAGGGTTTGAATTAGATGAGCTTAGGACAGGTCTTTATGGCTATTTATGTTTATCTATCTTTTAAAACATACCAGTATTTAATTGATTACACAAAGAAAGCAAGTTATAGCTAATACTACTTATCAGTTGTTTCAAAACAGCCTTTAAAAAGCAGAACTATCTGATTACCAAATTTGTTTTAAAGAATGCTGTTTCTTAACCATCTATTACCTAAGTTAAAGTCCTGCTGCAAAGTCACCCACAAAGAATGTCCCAATAATTGGTCACACTTGTCTTCTCTGTAAAGTGATACCCAAGCTTTTGCCCTATCCATCATTGGCCATCCTGAACAGCTGGTGTTTAATCTTCCAAAGAACTTTTTAAGTAGTTGAGGACTTCTGCTTTATCCTCCCCCAGGCTTCCCTGGCTGAGCCTAAACTAAATTTCAAAATACCTTTGGATTCAGAGACCTTTAAACAACAACAAAAACAAATCAAACAACTGTTAATCTCCCCCAATGGATATGGTTTGATTTTGCCTCACTGGGGAGGGAGTCATTAGATTATCTATTTGGATAGTACTTCCAATTGCTACATATAGGCCCCGGTCACACGGGAGGCTTTGATCCGCGAGAGGGATGGATCGGGGGTGCGTCAAGTGGGCACGATCACACTGCTACATCTGGGAAGCGGCGCGCACCCATCCCCGATCCGTCTCTTCCGGCCGAAGATGTGGATTAACCCCCCCACCCACAAAACACTACTACTTACCCGAAAATCCGCAGCAGAGGTGGCCGTGTGATCGCTGGTGCGCCTGTCTCCAGCAGCATGTGAGGCCCCTGGACAAACTGTGCAGGCGCACACATGCGCAGCGGGCTCGCCTCGCTCACTGATTTGTGGCTTCCCCCCGGCATCTGATCATGCCGGGGAGCAACTGCGCGGTAGCTCAGGGGATCTGTCTGATCCCGCCACTGCACTTCTCTTTTGATGCGGCTCGAAAAAGCCGCACTTCAGCTGCGCCTTTTCCCCCAGTGTGA